TTCCTTTTTGTTTACTTAATACCCCCAAGTGAAAGAGTATTTATAAAAATACTTGTCAAAATAATTTAATAAGCAAACAATACTTTAAATATTATGCAATGTAGATATCATATATTTCTTAAATCACTAAAATTATAACTTTCCCACAATATTTCTCAAGTACCAAAAATAGGATTAATCACAACCTCATAATTGATTTTTCCCATGTTATCACTCACTAAACTCTCATTGTTTTTACATTTGAAGGTTTAGTATGACTTAATTCTATAGAAAAGAGAAATGGACAGATAACATCATCAACAATTTTGCTGTTCTGTTCTATTTGCTCTCACATTTTCTCTGAATTTAGCAAAAATAGCAGAGCACCATATTTGAAATATACTTTTAAGAACATTGTGTCTGGGGCCTACCCTGGTGGCACAGGCGGTTGAGCACAGCGCTGTGAAGTTGCCCGCAGCCTCTGCAACACCGGTTGGATCCCGGCCAGCCGGAGAGGGTCCTACATGGTGCGGCAGACCTCTCCTGTCTCACCTGCTGCTCCCCTCAGCAGTGTATTTCGTCAGTCTGCCTGTTCTGTTCCCTGCTCTGTCTCTAGTGAATCCTCTCACCCTCCTGCAAATCTGGCCTGTACCCCAGTTCTTGTATAAATAAATAAATAAATAAATCTTTAAAAAAAAAAAGAACATTGTATCTGTCTGATTAATCATCTTACACATTCCTTTATTTGGGATATGCATATATAAAAAGAAAAAGCATTTGATTCACATATTTGTAAAGCTATATAAAGTTTTATCTTTCCGCAAACAAGACTAAGCCCCTGGTGTGCATCCCTGAAAAGGAAAAAGGCTAACTCAGTTTTCTAATAGAGCTGTACCAAATAACTCTCCCAGGCAATCATGCTGACAACAAACAATAAAGAACCTGTCATAAAATAACATGTTTTTATGGTATGCTGCCAGGAAACAAAGCTTTGCAGTGGGATAAATAGCACTGTCCTAAAATATGAGCACAAAAGAGAATAGGAAATATGGGATTTATTGCTTTAAAATCAAACTAACAATGTATTATAGCAGCATATTGGGAAAAAATATAAAATACTCTGAGCCCACTAAATAACCATGAATGATGAGAAGGTGTTTGAGTTGAAGATCATGCGAGCAGCTCTATAGCAAGCCTTATGAAAACCTCTTGAAATTGGTTTCTTTTTCCAATTTAAAAAAGGGAAAGAGACGAAAGATTGCATAGATAGGTGAGTCACAAACAAGTACAATGTAAGTGAATCTTTTAGCATCACTGTTCCATCAAGTGTTATTTTCTACTGCATTTTTTTTATTATGCAATTCCTAGGGCTACCTTTTGACATTGTTAATGTCTTTAGAAGGGATCTTTGCTTTTGATTTATTCACCAAAGAAGAGCAAATGATGATTATAGGGAAAAAGTATTCAATTTGTGTAAAATGTCACACATTAGAATGAATCAAATTTCAATAAGAAAAACATACTGTTTTCAGGCTATTGGAACATTTCATTTTAATTTAAAATTTCTCACAGTAATATTAAACATCTGCTGCCTCAAACTGAGAGAAGTGTGCCCTTTCAGGGTCTTCTTTCTCCCAGAATATGTGGTGGCCACCATCATCTCCCTCCGAGACTTCTAGGAATGGGTTGTCATTGCTGGTCTGCAATAATCACCAGCAACTTCAGGTTTTAGTCAACTTGACAAGATGATAGGCCATAAAATAGAAACTTGGGTTTGTCTGGGGGGGTTGTCTATGAGTATTTGATTATTCTTTAGTCTATAAAAGTGAGGGGCAATGTGAGAAGACAAATAAATCTTGAAAAGGGGAGAATTGATAAATGCGGGAATTCTCAGATGAGAGCCTCTATGCCTAAAGCCCTGGACCTTAACTTTTCCTGCATAATGATTCACCCCAGGATTCCTCTCAGACTTCATTTCCTTTGGAAATTAGCCTTGAACTCTACTCTTGTGCCTCCCTCCCCTAACCTACAGAGCTTTTTCCCTGTGATTCCATTCATCTTCTTGGTCCTTACCTGTGACATTGTCATTCTTATTTATCTCAACCCCTCACTCTCAAGAGACTAAAGAAGACAAGATCTGTGGTTTATTTAACTCTGTATACTCAGTATACAAGTACACAATGAAAGTTTAGTAAATAAATAGATAGGTAGAATCAATGCCCTCAGACATGCTTTGTACTGTATAGTTTCCTTCTTTAAAAAATAAAATTTGTTTGTCCTGCAAAGAAAATTCTAAAAAATCCATACAAACCACAAAAGTCTTTAAAAATAGAATGAAGGGGCCTCTTTGGTGGCACAGGGGTTAAAGACACAGCGCTATCAAGCTGTTGCCAGCCACTTCAATATGAGTGAGATCCCCAGTCAGGGAGCTGACCCACATGGTGCAGCAGACCTCTGTCTCACCCCTGCTCCCCTCAGCAGTATATTCAGTAGATCCGTCTGTTCTGCAACCCACTCTGTCTCTGGTGAATCCTCTCACCCCCCACACCTCTGGCCTACAACCCAGTTCTTTTATGCATAAATAAATAAATCTTTAAAAAAAACTAGAATAAGATGCTTTATAAGGAACAACATGTGGTTGTATGTGCTGCATTTTTCTCAAAGGAAAACTAGTTAACACAGCAGAAACTAAGGTACAAAAGATTAGAGATTTTATTCCTAACACTGTTTCCTACAAACCAAAAAGTTCACTTCAACTGAGAAATGAAGATAATCCTATCTGAGCTTGCTATCTTAAAAACTATTTCAAGGATCAAATAAGTTAATGGGAATGAAAGCTTTTCGGAAACTTTAAATTGTCATATAAATGGTATCAAGAATCTACAAAAGCATAAATGAACTTTTCTGCTTTTTCCTCATAAACAGGGTGGAAATTGAGGAATACATTTCAGTAACAAGTTTGACAGTATCATTGTCAGTTCATGGATATAAGTAGGACTTCCTTGGCCTGTGACCTTGATCTACTTTACTTGTCTCTGTCACCACAATATCATCAAACATGGAATTTTAATGAAGCTTCAGGTTCAAGGTTTTTTTTTTTAATATTTCCTTGTTGGGGGAGTCAGAATTCAGTATGAAGGAAAAAGAAAAGTGTTCATGACTGTTTCAAATACTTTTAAGTTAGCTACAGTGTACTAACTTTGAAATGCTCCTTCACAGAGGGAAGCAAAATGTACCTCGGATTACAGTTGTACACACAGCAGAAGATAACAATCCTAGCTGTCTCCTCTGTGATGTGCTACTACACTAGGTGGAAACCTATAACATTCACAATCACCTATATTGACCAGATTATAATAGAATGCAGTAAAGTTGAGACAAGTCTACGAATTTGGCAATCAGACCATTTAGGAGCATCCCATCCAGAACTCAGAATTATAATGAAATAGTTTCAAGTCTAATGACTCTATAAATCAGTTTTATAAGGACTTGATTATATTCATCAGAGTGGGGAGGTGCCCTAAAGACTCCCCCCTCTTACCCAGGCTCCAGAAATGACACCAATATTGGAGAAGTTCAGGGCTGTCTGAATACCACTCCAATGCCATCACAAAGATCTTGCTGCACAAAATTTCAAGATGGCACAACAGCAGTCCCATTGGCTTTCCAACCCAGGCACTTGAGGTGTGATAACTCATTAGTTGAAGAAATACTTTCTCAAGTGTCTACAAGCCAGAGCAGCAATGTGGCAATTACAAATTGCTTCCCGTCCATCACAGAATATAGAAATTTCACACTACCCTTCACACTAATCACAATTCTTCCCTTGAAAATAAGTTATTTGAACAATTCCATTACTGAGATGCCTGACAACCTTTTTCTTGCCTTTGGAGAAGTGCACAGAAACAATTCAAAATCATTGTATCCCCCTGCTACACTTCGTGATATGAGTTTTGTGACTAGAATTTAACAACTGTATGTGAGAGAGGGAGCTATGTTGGCATCAATAGTTTATTTATTGAGCCCTGAGTTTTTAAGTTCCCTCAAAGGAACACTTGTCCTCCAAGATACACTTTTTAAATTCCTGTCATAATGTTATAAAATATATTTTTAAAAGATTGTACAATAAAGTTTAACAATTCAAATGAGATAACTCTTCGGTATTAGTTGGAACAATTATTGTGTAATTATATAATTCCTTGTTTCTTGTATTTCTACTGAAATCTCATGAATAGAATTCAAAAATCCTTTACTTTTGTATGTCACGCAAGCCCTACTTCTAAAAAATTAAATGTGTCATCTGTATAATGTTCATTCTTGTTTATTAAATACCATGTAGCTTCCTAACCTTATCTCTTAGTACTCTGCAATTAATATCCCTCGCCACCCTCACACACACACACACACACACACACAAACACACACACTCACACACAATTTTCACATATACATTTCATCCAAACCAATAGGTTTCCAGACCATTGAATGTAGCCTGTTTATTCTCTGTTTCTTTTTTCCTTAATGTTGTTTCTTTCAGTTAGAATATACTTTCTCTCTTCTTTCACCAATTCAAATCCTTTCATTTCATTGCTGACATATGTTGTTTCCAAGAAGCATGGAATTCTTAACTAATTGAACTCTCCACTCATCTTAACCTTGCTTTGTTCTTTTTAGTTATTTATACACAATATATATCATACCAGTATGGGTTTCTTTTAAGTTGCCTCAGAAGAATTCTGGGTGCCCATGTGGGCACATAGCATTTTCCAAGTAGACTTTAAGTTCTTCAAGACCAGATACCATCTATTCAATTTCCTCAGATTCTCCATTCCATTTGGTATGCACAAAATAGACATTGAACAATTTTTAAATAATTATTTGAATGATTTTTTAAAATGAATAATTGTTCGTTGTTTAGGGCATTCATATTATTGAGGGTATGATTATTGAAGATAATATAAGGTAATTTTTAGCAATCTGGTTTTGCCTTAATCTACCACAGTATATTGTTTCATACTTACCGGAACAGAAACTTGAGGATTTTCCACAAGTTTTCCCAGCACAGCAAAGCCATTGACATTGATTTGGCCTCTTGGTTTTATAGGCAATGATTCGATCCTGATGCAATCAACAAAAAGAGTAGCACTACTCCTTTCTACGCCAATCATAATCTTATGCCACTGGGAATCAAACAAGGAGGGTAAATTCGAAAAGGCTGCGGTTTGGAGACTTCCATCCTGTCCCTTGTATGAAAATGCAACAGATTTTGTTTGACCATTTATCTTCACGCCAACTTGCTCCTTCCCTGAGGAATCCTGAATCTGCCAAATGCTCCAGTTCTTTTCAAGTGTGCTTCCAGTCATCCGAAAAGTAGTTAAAAAGGAGTATTCTTCAGGTAGTCCACTGGGATATAAATGCCTGAGTAAAATTTTTAAATAGTAAATATAAATTTGTTTTCTGTACCCATGTATATTACCATGTCCCTTTATTAAGCTGTTTTAGATTCTAGGCCTACAGAAAGGCTACAGTGTGAAAAACTATGTACTGTTTGTTCTTTCATGACTGTTCATAAAGACCTGCACAAACTCTTGATTATTCACATACATTAGTGCTCCATCTTAAATACACATTAATCTAAAAACCCGCCCTCATAGCTTAGGAAGGTCCCCAATGCCAGATATTCCAACAATATCACTATTTATGCTACCTAAAGAGCTACTGTTCGGTAATTTCACCTCAGCCAAAAAACACATTCTTGCAAAGTTCTTGGCAACATAAATGAAAGAAGAGATGATTTGGAATACAAATCAGCTCTGCCAGTTTATGAAACCATTTAATTAAGACAGCTATTAAATTTTTAATTTTAATGTAACATGTTAGGATTATTATTTCCATAATTGCTTGGGTATTCCCCTCCACAATTATATCCTAGACCCACAGAAGCATTTTGAGAATCAGTAACTGCAGACTTGGGAAGCTCTTTCATACTGAGGATTTTTGTCTTTTCTAAGGAGTTCAAAGTGTGATGATAAATTACAGCTGGTAGCTTGCCTAGGATGTGTGACAAGGGAAAGGTGACCTGTTTTTACTTCTCTTCTCCAACTCAGTTTTTCCAATTAGCCAACTAAGCCTGGATCATCGCTGCTTCCTTTAATACTTTAACTGGCAGCATATGATGTGGCCTTCCCAGAGGCATCTTCAGTCTTGGTGGAAACTGTGCTCTGGGCCTGTGCCAACTGCATGAATCTACTTCTGTTGAAGCCCACTAAAAGCTGAAGACCAAACTTGTTAAAAAGCTGAAGTTATTAAATATAAATATCATCTTTTTAAGGACTTGAAGATTATTTCCTTGTATCTTTCTCTTCCTAAACACAGAAAAATTCCTATGTAAGAAATGCTGGAAAAAAATAATGCCAATTAATTGTGTTTGCTAAATAATAAGATCTGACATTTCTGAGAACAGTTATGGACAGACCCCCAGGCCCTAAACAAACTTCTTGCAGGTCAAACTCTTCTTATATAGTCTCCTTCTTGTGAAGAGTCAAGACAGAAAGACAGAGCCTCTGTGGTGGCTCAGGGGTTAATGTCAGCACTATCAAGCTATAGGCAGCCACTGCAGCATGAGTTGATCCCCAACTAGGGAGGTGACCCACATGGCACAGCAGATGTCTCCTGTCTGGCCTGCTGCTCCCCTCGGCAGTGTATTTCAGTCAGTATGCCTGTTCTGCTCCCCACTCTGGTGAATCCTCTCACCCCCATACCTCTGACCTATACTCCAGTTTTTGTATGCATAAATAAAAATAAATCTTTTTATAAAAAAAGAAAATAAATGAAGAAATAAGTTGATGCAAATTAATTTGTTACAAACCAAAATGAATACTATGCGAATTTACTGTAATGGCATATGTGTTGTTGACAATAACAGGAAAATATATTGTTGGGATTAAGAATTTCAATACCAAAAAATGGCTCAGTTCCAAGAGTATTTAATAATAAGCAAAACCACTCAACTTAGTAAGATTTTCTACCTTTATTTTGGTGTCAACTATAAAGCATTTTCAACCCTTTTAATAGCATAAAAACAAATATATAACTCCCGACTGCAGGTATTTTTGCAAATCTTCAATAAAATGAATCGACTATGTCAACAAATTTCATTGCTTTGTTAGTTTTATAAAAATAGCAAAAATATAACACTTTTCATATGAGTGCACTTTTGTCATCGAAGTACTTCTCGAGCCATTACTTTCCTTTATGACTAAGGTTTTTATTTATAAAACTAGGTGAGTTGGGCCTCCCTGTTGGCGCAAACAATTAAGACGCAACCTATGAAGCTAACCTCAGCCTCTGCAGCACGAGTTTGATCCCCAGCCAGGGAGCAACCCATATGGTGCAGCAGACCTCTCCTGACTCTCCCACTGCTCCCCTCAGCAGTGTACCTCGGTCAATCTGCCTGTTCTGTTCCCCACTCTGTCTCTGGTGAATACTCTCACCCCCCAACACCTCTGGCCTGTACCCCAGCTCTTGTATGCATAAATAAATCTTAAGAAAAACTAAGTGACTCTCCTGTCAGTACATGCTTCTAAATGATTACTAGAATGTGCATTATTCTTACTGAAAAGCTTTCAGTTTTCTAAACATCATTTATTCTACTAAGTGTATAGGAGATTTTAACATGTACACTTAAAAAGATTCAGTTTAGAGGAAAAAATGTATACAAGAACTATTTTCCCTGACTGGAAAGGTCTGCCACATCTGTTTCAATATTTGGTTTAAATATAGATTCCATTTGTCGTATTTCCTTTGACTTTAGATTTTTCATTGTGTACCTATTTCAGAATAATCTCTAGGGAAGAAACTAAGGTTCACTAGTGACAGTATATTAACACTACATAACTACAAAGTTTTAGGGACGTTTGCACATCTCATGTAACTGACCTTAATTAATTTGGAGCTGGGGGATAAGTTTTTAAAGTTTTATTCACTTATCAAGGAAACGCATATCAAAACCACAATCAGATACAACCTCTAACTCATGAGAATGCCCATATGTGTACACAAAAAAGCACATGCCCAAAAAAGCATACACAAGTGTTGGCAAGGATATGGAGAAAAAGGATCCCTTTTATACTGTTGATGGGAATGTGGACTAGTTGAGCCACTCTGGAAAACAGTAGAGGTTTCTTAAAATATTAAAACTAGATCTCCTATATGATCCAGCAATTCTACTGCTAGATGTCTATCTGAAGAATGCAAACACACTAATTTGAAGGTATACGTAACTTGACAATAGCCAAGATATGGAAATAGCCTAAGTGTCCAACAACAGATGAATAGATTTGGAAGATGTGGTATGTGTGTGTGTGTGTGTGTGTATATATATATATATATATATATATATATATATATATATATATATACCACATATATATATACCATATATATATATATATATATATATATCCCTAAGATGTAAGAGCGAGAGAGAGAGAGAGAAACCTTGCCATTTGTGAACACATGGATAGAAAAGGAGTGGCTTGTGCTAAACAAAATAAGTCAGAAGGAGAAATACAAATATCAATGATTTCACTTATGTAGAATATAAACAAAACAAAGAAACAGACAAAATTAAAACAAACCCTAGAAATCTGATGATAGAATTGAATCAAGCAGAGGGGTAAATAGGAGTGGGAAGCAGGGTAGAGAGGGGGCCTAAAAGACTATGGTGGAGGATTATGGGTGCTCTGGTGGTGGGTGTGCTGTGGTACCATATATCTGAAGAGGTGTAAACCTATACTTCTGACTCATACAGTGTCATAAGCAATGTTACCTCTGTGAGAATAATACAATTTTTTTAAGGGTGAATCAGAGACATGGAAAATGGCTTTAAAGGACTCTTGCATGAGAAAGGCAAGATGCAGAAAAATAAATATGATGATTTCCTCATATAAAATATGTACAAACTCATGTCAAAAAAGCTTTATTCAATGGGAAATTGATAAGTATCTATTTAAACTAAAAATAAGTTCTTTTGAGAGTTCTTTTAAATTATGGATCCAGATTTGCCCAGATGCTTAAAAACTATTTCTCTTTTTTTGTCTAAATGTTGTGGGAGTATGAGGTTTTCATAGAAGGAAGAGAAATCCTAATGCTTTGTCTCCTTAATGTATTATTTTTCTACACTTAAGAAGAACAGATCTATGCATTTGCCTCTAATTGTCCTGAGCAGAGCTATAGCTATAGAATGTCATCAGTCCCTAGAAAAAAATAAATTCATTTTGTTTTCATTTGTGTCTCTAATCTTTCCTGCCAAGTGAATAGAGAGATTATGTTGAAGCTAAGATAGGACATAATGTCCCATTTACCTCTGACTTGGTTATGTAATGCCAAAAACTGTTTTAAAATGGGTTTATGGGCATGTTGGTAACCAAGGGTATTTATCTGTCTCTTTCTCCATATATATGAAGATTATATGTGTGTATTCAAATGTAATAAAGATAATCATGTTATTAATCTTTCAAACTGGCTGATATGTATGTCATACAGTAAAAGGAGAAAATCTTCTTTCAGTGCTAAAATTAATAAAATAGATATGTATCTGAATATTCCTAAGACCATTTAAAAGTCTTCACAAGTCCAATTTATAGAACAGCCAGTCCGTTTGTCTTTTTTGAACACCTGAATTCCATTCTTGCAAATATGCTATGTGCAGCAATAAGTAAACTTGACAGCATACATAATTTAAAGGAAGCTGTATCTATAAATGATTTATTTCATTATATTACAATCTGCACAGAATACCTGAAAAAGGAGACCCATAAGGATTTGAATAAAAGATAAGAAGTCTTTGGACCTTGAAACATTTGTTTATGACCTTAACCCACAGAAAAATTAAGGATTATATGAAAGTAAACACAGCATGTTTGTAAGTACGAGTCGGGAATATCAAACTAGTGTATGTAAAATAGTTCTTACTCTTAAGAAGCAGCAAAAAATAGTCCCATAATCTTCAAAAAATAAATATAGAAGGATAAATTTTGACTCTATCATATTAGCTCCATATGCCATAATCGCCTTTTCTTTCCATGAAGAACCTATTAATAGTTTCTTTTCTCTCCCTTGGCGCTTATATTCTCTAGCACATAAATCCCTTTAAAATAAAGACAGTCTGCTCCCTGTATGATCTGAAAGAAATACCAACCCCAGCCTTTCTTGCCACCTGGCTTTTGAATGAATAGGATTTGGAAGGTAGCTTGGAAAAAAAAAAAAATCCACTAAGAAGAAAAGACTGCAGTCTGCATACAGCCTCTCATTCTAGAGTTCTCCACTACTTACCCTAAGCAATGCACTGTGCACCAGGCTCTATTCAAGCCCTCTCCATTTAGTCCTCATGATAACACTATAAGATAGTTGCAATTATTCCTAATTTGACCTGAGAGCACTGAAGAAAAGACAGCTTGAGTATCTTTCCCAAGAATAAACTCTATTACCTATTTTGGAGTCTGTCAATCCCTGTTCTTCACCTCTCTTCTTTTTTTTTTCTTTTTTAAAGATTTATTTATTTGTTTATACAAGAACCGGTACAGGCAGAATTGCGGGAGGGTGAAAGGATTCACCAGAGACAGAATAGGGAACAGAACAGGCAGACTGACGAAATACACTGCTGAGGGGAGCAGCGGACGGCAGGAGAGGTCTGCTGCTCCTTGTGGGACCCTCACTGGCTGCTGGAATCGCATCAGTGCTACAGAGGCTGCGGACAGCTTCATAGCACTGCGCTCAACTGCCTGCACCACCAGGGGAGGCCCTCCACCTCTCTTCTATTTCTTTTTCTACTGCCTTCTACTTCTTTCTTCCTTATTTTCTCATCTACTAGTAAACAAGAGTTTTTAGTTTTTGTGGAAACTGAATCACAAAGATAGAGAATATGGGACAGATTGTAGCCTATGAAAAGTATTTAGTGGCAGCTCTCATCACTTGGAAGAAAACAAAAATGAGAAGGATGTGGAGGGGTTAATTGGCCTCAAGTTCATTAAGCTCTCAATTTAAGAGCTAATAACGATCCAGATTGTACCTTAAAATATAGAAGAGAAAATTAGGTTGGCATGGGAGGGAGAGGGGTTTTTATATCATGTTTAATTGTTTTATCAAAGAAATAAAATAAAATCAACAACTTTATCCATAAAATAAAGCCAACAACTGTTTTTGGGCTTTTAATCTTTTCAAACGTGATTGGTTTTCCAGTGTCACTTGGGAATGGGGGTTAGAAGCACAACCTCTGCAGCCATTCTGGCAAGGTTTCAGTCCTCCCAGTGCCTCACAAATCTGTGACCTTATGCAAATAATTTTAAATTTCTGTTCTCACTTTCCCCCTCCATAAAATATGAAGAATAATGTCCGCACCCCAGCATTGTGATGAGGATGAGATGTTATGTTAATTAGCAAATTTATGAAGAGCTTATATAGCATACTCCATTTTGGAGTATTGTCTATAAAATATAGTATGTCTGTATTGTATGCTCAAAATAAGAACTTATATCCACATTATGGTATTATATAAGAATATTCCAACTAACCAGAATTTTCATAATTTTGTAACATTTAGTTTCCATAAAATTATTTTACTATTCTAATTAATCACTTCTACACCTTAATATTTATCAGAGATCTCATTTTCTTGTTCATGTACTAACAGAATCTTTATTTTTCAAAGTGCATTAAAATATATAATAATCACATGTAATATATTTTAAGTGATGTAAAAACAAAACCCTAACACTCACTCAAACCATAGTATGATACAACATTTACATATGCACTAAGGCCTCTTTATGTATAAAAAATTAAAAGATAAAAGACTTAGCTTTCAGAAATGAGATAACTAAATTTGAGGGGTTTTTTTTTAAATATACATCATGACTACGGTTTCTGTTATCATTATTCTAATTTTACTTTTGTTCAGTTCCTGGCAGGAGCCAAGCACTAGGTGTGTGCTTCTATTTCAGCACCAGGATGCCTGAACAGCACCATTGTGAGTCCACTAACCACAGGTGGTGGTTCCTAGTTAAATTTATGCTTAACCTCTGGCACTTTTCACAGAGGGTCCTTTCAGTCAAAACCAGACAAATTATAGAAAAACAGAAAGCAAAGTAGAGCATATCCTGAATCAATGTATAATAGTCTCAGTGCTTCCACTCCCCACACAGAATGGAAAATAAATTGCATACTGAAAAAATGAAAAGCATTCATATATTCAGGCATTGAACTTAGTAAGTAAATAACTTCCTTATCTTTAAATAAATCATGATCCAAGAAACACTAAGAATAAGAAGATACTCTAATATTGCATAGCTTTACATTTGTTAAAATGCATTTGAAGCAGATAATTAGACAAAAATTTTTTACTACCTGGTTGGAATCCTGAAATCTACATTGTTTCCCAATTTGTAAGCCACTTGCAATGGAGTTGATCCTACTACTCTCTGGATTGCTCTTCTGGAAGCTGCCTTATCTATCTGGAACTGAGATATCAAGTCAAACCCTACAGAGAGGAAACACAAAATAAAAAAGTCCAATATGAGATTTATTTTATTATTTTCCCCAACCTTTCTAAAATAAAAGACTATATCAGATAGATTCACAGCAAACCTGAATTTTCAATATGAGACACTGCTACTTGCCTGGTAAATCATCTTGGCCAATCCTGACCTTTGGACAGAGTTCATTTCCATCATTAGAATTTGAATAGACAGGAAATCCTGAAAAAGAGATAGCATATTATCCAATCTCATTCCATATTGGATCATGGGGATATATATGCCAATAATAACAAGATATGAGTAACTATTTAAACTGCAGTATACATAACATGCTTATAAGTAGTGTATTTGCTTTAACTCTATGATTCCATGATCATAAGTGATTCATCTTCAATTCACCCTGGATAGGACAATGGACAAAACTGTGTCAATGACTTATGCTGGAAAAAATGTTTCTTTGGGGGAAGTTAGGAATTTTTCCTTTTGGAACCAGAGCTGCATGATGTTCTGAATGGCACAGCGTCAGAAGCCTGTTTGGAAAACTTCTGGTGGTTTGGGCTAGAAAATATTCCTTAAACACCACAAATTTTAGAATTCCTAAGAGAATCCAGAGCCAGGCTTGAGCCAGTTCAACAGGACTTTTGGAGACTGGAGTTCTTAGATAGATGACAGCAGGAAGGCGGCAGGGAAAGGTTGGAGGAATCTTTGGAATCACTAATCCTAAATAAAATATAGAGAATAAATTTAATTTCACATATTCATAACAAGTGTCCCAACTAGACAATTGTTCTTGTTTTAGAATGAGGAAGAATAATAATAGGAAGGAAAGAATAATGAGAAAGATTAACCCCTCAATTTGATAAGAATCCTAGAATGAAACTAGGTACTTCTTATACAAATGAGAGGTTGTAGGAAGGGAGTTTTTTCACTATCACGGAAGGTTTCTTGCAATTTTCCAACCCCAGTGCCAGCTGGGGCTCATCTGATGAGAATTCCTAGACTGAAAAACAAATATTTTCTAGTTACAAAGCCCTGGCTCAGCCACCCCAGTACATCAAACACACTCTAGTCCTATCCTAGCCCCAGATTACTGGTTTCCATCCATCCATCCATCCATCTTCCATCCACCCACCCATCCACCCATGGAACATTACAATCACCAGCTGAACTCGATAGGCACTGTGCTAGGCACTGAAGCACACAGATTGGCTTTCCTGGCAGCTATGATCACAGCCAGTACTTCTTTTTCATGCCCAGCATAGACATGGAACATCAGTTCTTAGAATAAACCCTTGCAGGGATCAGGATGGAAGAGTGAGGGTGTGAAGGACCATGTGTGCTTCACTCAGCCACAGCTAATGGTCTAGGGACAGTGATATTTCAAAATCCAGAAACTGTGGCCCTTACTCGGGAGACGCTTGACAGTCGCGGATGCCCAGGGTCCTAGGAAACTGCATACGAAGAAGAGTATTGGAATTTTCCTGAAGAAGAGATAAGACAAAAATTATTCTAACAGAAGTCCCTCTCCATGGAGACCACCTTAATATTTTAAAGCCTGGTAAACCTAATTAATGTACTTAATCTAATCTCATTTCCCATTTTGACTTTAAATCTTATTAAGAGATTCAGTGAATTCTCACGTTTTCAATTCCTAGTCTAAAAAAATCTTGTGATTGTTGTTTTTTCTAACTCATTTGTTGCCTATTTCATTTTTTCTTTATTTCCTTGTCTCTATTTCCTTTTATCTTAGCTGTTCTGCCGCTACATTTCAATGGCTGCCTCATTATTCCTTTTCTGTCTATCTCTTCTTTCACTCCTGTTTGCTCTTTTCTGGCTCACACTCTTGTCTCTCTCTTCTATTTTTCCCCACCCCCCTCACTTCCTCTCATCCTACCATCACTACAAAACACAGACCCTCGGTTCTGAGGGCCCCTGGTCCAGTCTCCCCACACACACACACACTATTTCCAGTGTCAAGATCTTACCAGTTCCTCATTTTCCCAATCGGTTTTCTTTTGTTGCCAACAGCCCTTGTGAAGAAGCGGTTGTAGGGGAGTCAATGCTCCCCTAACACCTCCTCACTATCCCCCCAGGACTGATGAGTTCAGGACCAGCCTTGGCTCCTCCTGCCCCTGTGAGGGCTAAAAGCAGAGGGAATGAACCAGAGGCATCCAGTAACATTTTAAACCAAAGGGAGGGAAGGGGAGGGCAGAGGCGGCCCTAGAAGCCCAGGCCTACCCAGGGTGTGTCCCCAAAGCTAACAAGCTTACACTGAAAGAGGGATTAGCAAGGGAAAGTTTGCTGAAAAGAAAAAAATAATCAGGCTGTGGAGAAATTCACCAGAAAAACCCAGGCAAGCTGCTATAGGAATACAGTAGAAGCATTTAGAACCACTATAGGAATACAGTGGAGACTTTTAGAACTGCTATAGGAATATAGTGGAAACTTTTAAGATGACTGAGGTTCCTGAAAACAGGGGTGGACTGGAAAGCACAGATGTGGGAACCCACTGGAGGTTTGGGGCCCTGCCAACTACATTTGAATTCCTGATTGTTCTGAAACTCACTAGCTTTATGTCCTTGGGCAAATTAGTTAATCTACCGGTAACTCAATTGCTTAATTACAAGACAGGTTGCAAATAATTACTTAAAACAATTATTTTAAGAATTAACAAGATAGTCAAGCAGAGAGCCTAATTCCTGGCTCAGAACAGTCATTATTCTCTACCATCATCTTTATTATAGCTAACACTTCACTATATGTCCCCCTCTGTTTAAAAAATGTATGAAACAGGGGCCTCCTTGGTGGCATAGGGGTTAAGTCTTGGCACTGTCAACACTGTGGCCAAGTTCCATCCCAGCCAGGGAGCTAACCCACATATGGTGAAACAGACCTCTCCTGTCTCACCCCACTGCTCCCCTCAGCAGTGTATTTCAGTAGATCTGCCTGTTCTTCACCCCACTCTGTCCCTGGTGAATCCTCTCCCTTCCCCACCCCCACACCTCAGCCTACACCCAAGTTCTTCTGTGCATAAATATAGATAGATAGATAGATAGATAGATAGATAGATAGATAGATAGATAGATAGATAGATAGATAGATAGATAAAATGTGTGAGGTTGTAAGAGGGAGAAGGCGGGACTGGGGCCAAAGGCTGATGCAGGTGATGCCTCCTAGAGGGTAGCACAGGTGAGGATGAATAACCCCAGGTGAAATACGAACAAAGTATTGGTGTGGGTGGAGACACTGACAGGAAATATAAAAGACTGCAGAAGCAGCCCCCAGGATTCAGCATCTTCAGGGATGATTCAGCGTTTTCAGATGATTGCTCTGAAACTCACTACTTTATGTCTTTGGGCAAATTAGTTAATCTATTTGTAACTCAGTTGCTTAATTACAGATAGATTGCAAGTAGATAGTTACAATTTTACTTTAGCAATTTTGAGGGTTGGCCATTTCTGTCCCCATCATGGGGATTTTCCAGAAGGCTGTTACAGGTCTCTGCAACCAATCTCAAAGAAAAGTTCAGAGACTTTGCAGGTAGCCTAGCGCCCGGAAACTGTTCCCAACTTTGCTGCTGTTAAAGCCCTGAGGGTAAGGCGTAGACCTGGAGCTGGGCACCCACCCTAGCTGTGAGCTTGGGCCTTTTGTCCCATTGTTCAGCTGCTGCAGCTGCTGTTTCCAGTGTTGTTTGTCTGATACTGTGCTGGCTCATCATGACAGTTCTGGTGAGCATCTCTTTTGTGTCTTCTGCTGTAGTTCTGGGTTGAATCATGGCCTATCGTGTGGCTGCCACTTGCTCCAGGCCCTCAGTGATGGGAAGAAGCCATCATAGACGCTTTTTGCTTAGCACTGAAAACACTGGAGACTGCTTCAGGTGAGGATAAAAGGCCGCTGGAGGCCTCAATGACTCTTTGTTTTGCCTTGTTTGTTAGACAAATCCTATTATTGTTGTTCCCTAAACCTGAGTAGTCTTGCAGGTTGCAATTGTGTGCGCAGGTGATGAACTCAGTGACCACTAAACTATTTGGGCAGAATATGTGGCCAGTTTTAGTGTCCCTTATTCTCTGGTATCAAAACCTCATGACATTTAATTCTTGCAACAATATATAATATTAAAATTACTCCTATGCTACAGATGAGAAAACTGAGGCACAGAAAATGAAGTAACTTGCAGGTTCTCCAACTTGTAAATTGTTTAATATATGTTGGCTTCTCTGCCTCCCACCTGGAAAGCCTGATAAATGTAACTCCAAACCCCCTAGTTCATATTTCTTCTAAAACCCAGTGATTACCAGAGTTGAGCAGAATATCCTTGGAAATAAACAGCATAGTATCTTCCAGAAACAAGTTGAGAGCAAGTTACACATTTTATCAGCACAGTGTCATGCATACAAATCCTCTGCAGAACCTGAGCAGAGAGAGAGAGAGAATAAAAGAGAGAGAGAGAGAGATCTCACAGTCCCCACTCCACCCACTGGGGATGGCCTGCTTCTTGCCCATCTGGGAAACATGAGTGTGCAGTCCAAAAGCAAGGACTTTCAGGGTCAGAAGATCTAATGATCTCAGTAAGGTAAGATGGCTAGCCTGGAAGTATTTTTGTTTCCTTGGAATTTCTTTAGTGCATAAATTAATTTAATTTTTTATTTAATTACAAGATAAATGGCACTGCTTTTTATTTTTTTGTTTCGTTTGTTTCTTTTCCTGAAAAAATCCTTTCCTTTTCTGTCTCCCTCAGTTTGCTGGAATTTACCCTGATGAGCTGTGAACCAGGTAAACTCTTACATCATTCTTTTTGTTCCTTTTCACTTTTTAGTTTTTTCCTGAAATTTCATTAATTTTCCAGCCATTTACATAATTATATATAATTTGGAAGGTTCATCTTCAAACCTTTGTAAGTGCACATGTTTTATTTACCCTCCACCAAAACTCCCATGTCAATGTCCTATAGCACTCCTGCCCCTAACCCCACACCATTCCCTCCGGTAACTAGTGTATTTTTCATGAAGCCTAAGGATTATTTTTACTATGCTTTGCCAATTTATTTATATTCCACAAATAAGTGAAACCATCCAACATCTGCCTTTTACCTTCTGACTTATTTCATCAGCATAATCACCTCAAGACTTATCAATTTAATCCCCAAAGGTACTATTTCATATTTTTTAATAGTTGAATGGTATCCCATTGAGTATCCAGTCATCTGTCAATGGGCATTTAGGTTGGCTCCCATGTTGGCTATCGTGAATAAATGCTGCTATGAACAAAGGAGTGCATAAATCTTTTTGTATCCTAGTTTTCATATTCTTTGGGTGAATATCTAGCAGCAGTATTGCTGGATCATATGGCATTTCCTTTTTTATTTTAAGAAATTTTCATAAGGTTTTCCACCGAGTCTGTGCCAACTTGCATTCCCACAACAGTGGAAGAGTATTCTTTTTTCTCCACATCCTCACCAACGTTTGTTCCTTAGTCTTTTTAATATAGGTCATTCTCACAGGAGTCAGGGTGATGTCTCGTTTTTATTTGCACTTCCCTTTAATAAGCGATATTGAATCTTTTTTCATGTGCCTATAGGCCATGAAATTCTTATTTGGAGAAGTGACGCTGTAGATTTGTTGTCCATTTTTTGATTGGGTTGTCTAGAGGTCTTTTTGTTCATATGAGTTCTTTCTATTTTTTGGAAATTAACCCCTTGTCAGACATGCGATGTGCCAATATCTTGGTCCAGTCCTTAGGTAGTCCAGTCTTTTTTCTTTTTGAGGTAGTTTCTTTTGAAGTACAAAAACTTTTTAATTTGATTAGTCTCATTTTTCTACTTATGACCTACCTCTTGGTTCTGTCTCCCCTGGCATAGGGACATCCATTTCCTCACTTCATTTGAAGATTTCCTCAAGGTCCCATCACTCTCCTTCCATCTATCAAGATGACGATTCTCTGGGGCAGTCATTTTGGCTCAGTCACAGAATAACAAATGGCTATCACCTCACTTATTCTTGTAAGTCAACCAAGACTTATTTAAATGGAGCAGTTTATTAACACAAAGAACTGAATTTCTATTGGTAGAAACTTCAGAGGAGAAATTGTGTACCTGGTGACCTCCTTGACATCCTCAAATGACATGAGGTAAGCCAGCCCTAGACTCAAAGGAAAAAGGGTATTTTACACAGATTCTTTCCACCTAAGTTTTTTACTTGCAGTACAGATCCTCTGTATTATTTACTCTGGGAAACAAAAGAGAGGCAGATTTTCCTCTGCAATTAAGTGTTTCAGAAATACTTCATTTAGTGCTTAAGAGACCTCGCCTCTGTTTTCGCTCAGCTCCCCAACTTTAAATATACCTCTACGGCTAGAATTTAAAGGCAAGTAAAGGGATATTTTTAATAAAATACAAAAGAATAGAGGACAAAATAGGTTTGCTTTAACGTCTTTCCAGTTTGGCAGTTTAACTTAATAAAGAACAAGCAATATCTTTATTAAGAATGGATGTAAATTCAGAGAGAACAAGATATTTTTATCTCACACACACAGGGTTTATGGGCACTTTTTACTCCTTCCATCCCCATTTTCTATTAATCATATTTCCAAATAAGACATTACATCTCACAGAGAGCAGGACAAATCCCACACTGTTCTGGTTTGCTCAGGTTTCACTTTAAAATCATAGGCACATAGGGCCTCCCTTGTGGTGTAAGGGGTTAAGCAACACAATATGAAGCAATCTGAAGCCTCTACAGCACTCGTTAGATCCCTGGCCTGCCAGGGAGCAACCCACATGGTGCAGCAGACTTCTGTCTCGCCCGCTGCTCTCCTTAGCAGTGTATCTTCAGTCTGCCTGTTCTGTTCCCCACACTGTCTCTGGTGAATACTCTCACCTCCTACAAGTCTGGCCTGTACCCCAGCTCTTATGTGCATAAATAAATAAATCTCTAAAAAAAAAAATCATAGGCACACAAGCTTTTTCACCATTGGCACTATTTCCCCATTTTACTTAATAGTTTTGTTCCTGGACAATAAAACATGTGGAAATGTAATGTCATCAGTTTCATCAGATTGTAAATGCACAAGATAGGCTGATATTTAACATGATGCATTTCACAAATATTTTATGTAGAACAATTATGTTTTTACCAGTCCTTACTCTCTCCCCTGCCAAAACACATCAACATACACATCAACATATGCTCTCATCAACATACACAAATCTTTCCCTTTTTATAAATCCAGGATTTTATTTACATACAGTTTAAATTAGAAAAGATCATCACAAATAATCATCTTTCTTGGTCATCTGTTTTCTTTCTTTCATTGTTTATCAATCATTCTACAAACACATTGAATAACAATATATAGCAAGTATGTGGAGGAGTTCAGTAGGCAAAATGCTTGAATAAACATAGTCTTGCCCTAAGGAAACTCCTGGAACATGAAAATAACTGTACCACAGTAAGTGAAAGAGGCCACAGCACCATGAGAACAAATACGAACTCAGTTCAGGGTCATTGGGCAAAGTTTCATGAAAGATGAACTCTTAAAGGGTAAATAGAAGCCTACCAATAAAACAAGTAAGTAGAGTTCATTTTGGAAATGCATTCAAAGAAAACTGCAGGTACCATGACAAGGTAGAATAGAATATTTTATGAACCACAAGTTTAGGTTAGGAATTTGTTCATTTTGGTAATTATTTATTGGTGATTTTTTTTCCATGAGCCCTAAATTGATCTTAACGCAGAGATATAACTTAGAAAGACCAGGTTCCTGGCTCCATGGAGTTTATACACATGGAGATAGATATTAAATACATGTATAAGAATTAAAAAAGTAACTTCAATTGAAATCATTATATATAATTTATTGTATTTTTTTATATAAAAAGCGCAATGTGTGCTACAGAACCAGGGTAAGTTTAGAGGCTGATGTAGATCAAGGGGTAATTTTTGAGAATGAAGAAGGTAAGACTGATAGGTTAGATTGGATAAGTGGTAGGAGGCAAGGACTACCTGGCATGGAGTTTGAACAACCAAGTAGATTGTGATGTCATTTTCTGAAATTACAAGTAGGAGGACCATGGGGCAGGAGATTGTAAAGGGGATCTTGAATAACTGAGTTTTGACATTTTTTTAACTGTTATGGAAACTGGATAAACAGTTTGAAGCCTGGAATGACTTCTTTAGATGTATGTTCAGAAAAAAAATGGTTCTGGGTAGCTTGAAGGATGGATTGAATGTTTTTTTTTTTTTTTTTCCCTTAATATTTATTTATTTATTTATACAAGCACTGGGTACAGTCAGAAGCACGGGAGGGTGAGAGAATTCACCAGAGTCAGAGCAGAGAGCAGAGCAGGCAGACTGACGAAACAAACTGCTGAGGGGAGCAGCAGGCCACAAGAGAGGTCTGCGCGCCATGTGGGACCCTCGCCCGGTGGCCAGGATTCGAACCGGCGCTGCAGAGGCTGCAGGCAGCTTCAAAACCCAGCACTCAACCTCTACGCCACCAGGGAGGCCCTGGATTGAATGGTTTTGATCAATATGCATACGTGCACAAAAATTGAAACAAAAGTTTTAGAAGACACTAATAACCTATGTAAATGTGGTGGGTTCTATTTTCTGTTTTATTCTATTCATTTTTTGGGTGATGATAAACCAATTCAATGAATTGATTTCACTGCCAACTAATGGATTGCAAAGCAGGGTTTTTAGAAACATTGGAATACAACAGGCACTAGAAATTCCAAGAGCTAGTTTTGCTTATCTCTTGGTATGGGGCATAACAGCT